TTTTACATAATTTCTCGAAAGCAAACGAAGCAAAATGAACATACTTAGCAAGAAAGACAAAATAATATTTGTAAACACATAAGGGCATGTGCAATGGGGATGCTTAAGGAGTTCTTAAAATATAAAATTATTAAAATTTGAGTAAAATGAAGAAAGAGAGTGTTTTTGTGGGGTGTATTGAAATATAAAATTTGAGTAAAGAGAGGAGATAGTGAGTGTGTTTAAATATAAAATTAATAAAAGTTGAGTAAAAGGAATTGAAGAGAGAGTTGCTTAAATAAGAACTTTTGGAGAGTGTTTTTAAAATGATGAGATAGTGTTTAAATATAAAATTAATAAAAATTGAATAAAATGATGAAAGAGAAAGTAAAAAGTTGAATAAAAGGAAGAGAGACTGTGTGTTTTAATAATTTTATATTTAAGAATTGGCTTAAGAACTTTGTACTGCGCATGCCATAATGGGGCACACTTTACACCCCACATGACAACAACAAGAACTCACAATTTTAAAGACAAAACAGAAGGAAAAGGCTTGCACTTAAAATTCATTGTCCAAACTCCAAAAGCAGAACAAGTAGCTAAACAACAACACAAGAGCTCAAATCTAAACTACCATTACTAGAACTCTAACTTTGGTGAAGACTGGGGTGGAATATAGTAAGGGACATGGTAAGTACCAAATTTAATAGACCGGTTAGAATCATGGAGATTGACTACACCGCACAAGTCGGGACCCAAGAAATAGACGCAGTTTGGAGATTTCTGACACAAGCTAGCCCGGACACAGAAAGGTTCTGCCTTGGAGAGGAAGATGCTGAGGTCTCCAATGTCTCTAGTGTACACAGAACTTCCATCTTCTTCTATTTTGAATACCATGAAACGATGCGTTCCAATTCTCCCTTTCATACGGATGTCTCTCTTGGTGTACCACTTAACCAAAAACATTTCACCGGTGGTTCTTGATTCCACCAAGTGTTCGCTCCTGTAACACGAATCCAACAATTCCCACTCTGATTGCACCAACTCGGGAAAATCTTCAAACCTCAACTTTTGGATCTTCGGGTTGTCTTTGTGTTCTCCAAGATCCCATGATCCAATGTAGGTGCCTCTAGAGGCAGGCATGGAGAACATCTCATCTCGTTTGGAGTACATTACACGGGAGTTGAAAAAGCTGGAGTCTGTGATTCTTACATTAGTCCACTCGGAGTTTCCACTAGCGGGCCTGCATAAGCTGAGCTGAGGTCCCAAGAACTTGATTACCACAACACAGTCATCATCCTCTGGAGAAGAGGATGACATTGCCACGTTGGTGACAGTTTGGGTTTGGCAATGAGGCAAAGCTACAAGAGGAGGCAGAGAGATGCGTTTTGGATCTGTATCGGACGCATTTGGGTTAAGATCGTCTTGGAGACACACAACTCCTTCCTTCAAAGTAGCAACCCATCCATTGGATGATCCTACCGTTCCCATTTCCTCTACCAACTTCATAGGCACCTTCTTTTCCGTAACAATGAACCCATCACTAGGGTTATTATAAATCTTGAGGTTTCCGATTTCCCCATCCCTAAGGGTAGATCCACAATGTTGAGCACCGGCAATAGAACATGGTAAGGAAGTTGAGAAGAACCGAGTGGTGAGGTGCCTCTGCACATAGCAATCAAACATCAGTACAAGAACCAAAGACTAATTAGCAGATTAGTAGTAATCAAACATCAGTACAAGAATCAAAGACTAATTAATCAGCAGATCAAAAGAGTTAGCTTACGAGTGCATTTGCTTTCCGGGAAGGAAGCTTCGAGAGCCGGCGGAGTAACAGAGACATAGAAACTAGATTTGGTAGTAATAAATTTTGACAAGAGAAAATGGAATTTGCAAAAGGAATAAATAATTTACAGTTTTATGCAATTATTAATACAGAGAAAATTGCCTTGCCAACCAAGTCTTCCTTTTTTCCTGTTTTGGGCTCTTAACACTATTGGGCTTTTATAATGCCCATAAAACCGCTAAACTTTTCCAGTTTATGTTTCATTAATCAATTTCCGTGTAAGGAATTCTTCGTCGGTAATTAATTTCCAGTTTTTCCTTAATTAAAATTAACAAAATGAATCATGATGCATGCATGCAATTTAAACAAAAAAACAGCAGTGCAAGTAAGTTTTGTAATTTCGT